TGGTGCTCAAATTTGTTTCTGATATGGCAGTGGAATCTCGTTCATGGTGGCTTCTATATTCTTTTGACATGTCCCCACCAGTTTTTGAGCCGTTTTTTGCTTTCTGGCACAGCATGTTCCAGGTTCACCCCATTCTTTCCTTGTCCCAGCCCTGGATTTAGCCATTTGTCCATGGAGCCCTTGTTTCTTTCAGTGGGCAATGATATCCAGAAATCAAGACATGGGTATTAGGTGTGCTTATTGCTACGGAGGTATCACTGCTTCTAGACCCTTTTCAATGGACAGAGCTAGGAAATATATTTTATTAAATAATCATGAGTTCATCATTCTTCCTCACCTTTCTCTATACCTCCTTTCCCCAATGATGAGAACGCTGATTCCATGGTCTCAACATGCTTTTTTAGGTTTTTGCACATTTTCTTTGTTCCTTCCTGTCTGATATGCCATCTACTCCCCTATCTTTCTTGATTCATACAAGCAAAATTGATCTCTCTTTCCTGTGTGCTACCTTTGTACTTTATCCTGCCTATGGTGTTGTGTTTATTTCGTTATTTTAATTATCTCTTTACATTCGTATCTCTTCCGCTAGACTAAGTTTCTTGAGGTTAGAAACTGTTTAATGCTTGGCACGGTATGTGACACTTAATAGATTTTCAGTAAATGTTACTACAATGCAAAGTAGGTGTAATGGATTGAATTGTGTCCTCCCAAAATATCTGTCAGCTTGGCTGGGTCATGATTCCCAGTATTGTATGACTGTGTACCATTTTGTAATCTGATGTGATTTCCTGTGTGTTGTAAATTCAATCACTATGAGGTAGTAAAATGGCTTAGCGGCAGTTATACTGATGAGGTATACAAGATTGGATTCTTAAGCCAGTCTCTTTTGAGATATAAAAGAAGTGAGCAGAGAGACATGGGAACCTCATACCACCAAGAAAGCAGTGCCAGGAGCAGAGCGTGTCATTTGGACCTGAGGTTCCTGCACAGAGAAGCTCCCAGACCAAGGGAGGATTGATGACACGGACCTTCCTCCAGAGCCGACAGAGAAAGCGTTCCTTGGAGCTGACACCCTGAATTTGGACGTGTAGCCTACCGGACTATGAGAGAATAAACTTCTCTTTGTTAAAGCCATCCACTTGTGGTATTTCTGTTATAGCAGCACTAGATGACTAAGACTGGGTGAGTGGGGAGGGAATGAACTCATAAACCTGTATCTAAACCCATTGCCATCCAGTCAAATCCGACTCAGTGACCCTGTAGGACAGTGTAGAACTGCCCCATAGGGTTTCCAGGGAGTGGCTAGTGGATTCAAACTGCCAGCCTTTTGGTTAGCAGCCATTGCTCTTAACTGCTGTGCTGCCAGGGCTCCAACCTGTGTCTGCCGACCCTAAATTTCTTGTTTCTTCCCTATTATAATTCTAAAATACCAGCCTATTGCACACATTTCTAGTTGTCTTTGAGAACTAGCTGTCTACAGTAATTTTTGATGACTTACAACCAGTAGTGTGGAGCACATCATTTTATAACTAACTCAAATAGTCTTAGAAGGGTAACATAAAGTACTTGCACGTTAAAAGAATAAAAGTAGATTTCTCATTTTTTTCTATTGGTGTTATTAAGCGGCACATGAATGTTACTTCGAATACTTCACACATTAAGAATTAAATCAAAAGTAAATCCCCAAATAATATTTTAGGTGACATTTCCTATTCACATTTGCAAGAGCATCGTATAGAATCAACAACACCTGAAGGTGAAGATTAAATGGGATAATGCTTGTAATATGCTTGTTACAGTATCTGATACATAACTAAGGGCTCAGTAAATGTCGGCTACTGTAATTACTATTAATAGTAATATGGTTGCCTTTGGTAGAAGGTATTAATTTCTTAAAGTTGTTTTTTGTTGTTGTTTATTATAGTATGTCTTCCCACGTCTGTGTTATTGCCTCAGTTGGAAACCTAAGTTGAGTATGTTAAAAGATGAACATGCTTAGTAACTCAGTTATATTATAATAGAACAATGACAAAATGATGTCAATGGGTTTATCATATCTTGAATGGTTTATCCTTAGCTTTCAAATTCCTTATGATAGGTTTACAGAAAACTTTCTGTACATCAAAACAACATTTAAAGGCATATAATGTAAACTGGGAAACACTTTTAAAAAAAATTATGTGAGTCAGTGCAAAAAAGTGAAAATTCCAAATGGGCAAAGGACATAGGTGATGGCAATAAGTATGGAAATATGTAAAAAACTGTATAACTTTATTCTCAAAGAAATGGATATTAAAACAGTGCCCATTCTACCACCACTCACTGACAGTGGAGTTTATATATATGTATTTTTAAATTTTAGTGTGTTTTAGGTGAAAATTTACAGTGCAAATTAGTTTCTCATTCAAAAGTTTGTACACAAATTGTTGCGTGGCATTGGTTGCAGTCCCTGCAATGTGTCAGCGCTGTGCCCCTTTCCGTTTACACCCTGGGTTCCCTGTGTTCATTCCTCCAGGTTTCCTGTCCCTTCCTGCCTTCTCGTCTTTGCTTTTGGGCAGGTGTTGCCCATTTGGTCTCCTATACTTGACTGAACTAAGAAGCACGTTCCTCACATGTGTGAAGTTTATATTTTTATTTTTTCTTTAAATTTCTGTCAGTTTGATTGGTGCTGGGGTTAGAGCTAGAGTTGGGCTTGGAGTTGAGATTGGGACTTGGACTGGGGCTGAAGTTAGGGGCTGGGTTTAGAAATACTGAATTTTTAATCTAACATTATTTCTGGTCAAAAGTATTGTTTATTAGTAGGTTATAGATTATTTTTTTTCTCTAAATGAATGTGACTCAGAACTTTGCTTTCAATGTTTTTTTGATCTGGAAAGGAAAAGATAATAGGAATGTGATATATTGGTGAATAGGGACTGCTTTTCCAGTTTTTCAGCCCCTTGGGTAGAGTATGCATCATGGAAACATACTGTGAAATACATGCAGAAATTACTAAGATTCCATGTTATATACTTCTGAAATGCAAAACATTTAAAAATTTTGTAAATAGGACTTTATTGAGGTAACATCTTGGAGGCATTATTTGTGGGCAGATGGTGAGTAATCCTGTAGCCACACCTTAGGTATTGTGTAGACTTCTGTTGCTCCAGAAACTATATAGTCCCTAATTTTATCATTGGTGGGAAATTTTAGATTTAAAGAATAAGGAAACTATCAACTATAAGGTTAACTTGAATTAGTACTGTGAAGTAAAGAATGTGAGGTGACAGCAGTAGGTAAGGAAAAGTCTTTGGATGGTCTGTCTTACAGGCTCCAGTAGCCACGCCTGGGTAATAGAGTGACTAAGACTATAACTTACAGTTCTTCCAAGTAGTTAATTAAGGGAATACGCTAAAATAATGGAAGTGTCAACCAAATGTTCAAATCTTTATTAAAGAGCTTCTTGTTTAAATAAACAAAAAATATATATTCATCCTTTTTTTCTGACTGATGAGATAACTACTTTTTATTATAGACAATTTGGAAAAAATACAGTTTAAAAGCAAGAGATAAATGATCTCTTTATTCCCTCTACCAAAGACATAGCCAATTGTTAACATTTTGTTATATATGCAACCAGATTTTAAATATCTATATAGATATATTTATACAAATACGTATAAATGATCACATTTTGTTATGCTATGTATGTGTGTTTGTATTCATAAACTGTGAACATGTTTCAAACATTTTATCAAAAAGATGATTTTTAATGACCATTCTCTTTTTTTATGATAGGATAGTCTATAAAGTGATTCATAAACGAAGGACGCTTTAGTCCTGCAGCCCATGTGAAGAACAATAAGATACTGTGTTCTTAGGTTTATACTTAATACTGATTATCAGCTCTGCCTCTTATTCCATGACTTCTCATTACACCATCCCATTTCCTAACTTTCTGAAGCCTGTTTTGGTGGAGGGTTGGTGAGATCTTTTAGACATACGTGTTACTCAGAAGCAAGACTTGGAACTGGTTCGTCCTGTTTCAGTCATAGCTGAGGAAGCAAAACTGGAATATACCTGAATTTTTAAAATTTGGGTGAACCGGAATGATAACTAGAGTCAGAAAAATTACGGGTCGAAGCCCTGCTAGAAACCTAATCTCCCTCTTTGAAAACAAGGACAGTGTACGTGTTGGATAGCAACCAAATCTCTTGCCCACTGGATTTTAAGCAGTGTCGTAAACAGTAGTGCCCTGCTCAGAGTGGTGGCCGACTGGACCGCTTTGAATGTGTGTTACTCTCCGCAGTCCTGCCAGTAATCCAGTCTTGCACATCGGGCTCCTAGAAGGGCCTATTATACCTCTTCTGAGTCTCACATTCCAGGGTGTCGACCCATAATTTCTCCCATTTCCGATTATCGTTCTGGATCACTTAAATTGTAAAAATTTGGATCCGTTCTGGTTTCGCTTCATCAGCCATGACTGAACCAGCTCAAACCAGTTTGAAGCCCGCTTAAAAGGTGGGAAAATCAGGTTTTCATTTCAAGATTCTGTTAAAGTTACCCACCCCCTTCCTTTACTCAATCTAATGTTGCATAGTCTCTTTTTTCTTTCTTGCTCTTTTTATAATAGAGGCCCCATGGAATTTGCAAATGAAACAGTTATGGAATTTAGAGTTATACTGTCCATCTGACTGTTAGATACTGGTCTCACGTTTTTCAGAGTGGTTGAGGGCATTAGACTCCTTAGTGTTGACCATTGTCTTACGTACTCCTATGGCTGTAAGTAAAATAGATCATGGCAGTTATTTGTAAGTTGATTGATTTTTCTTGTCCTCTATATCAGTCTGAATAGTAGAGTTGGTAGAGCTATGCCATTTTTGAGATAATTATTTTGTAGCTAATTTGAGTCTTTTCTGTTTGTTATTAATGTGTGCACTTGCATTGTTGAATCTCTGCATAACACGTTTTTAAAAGTAAAGGGTGCACTGTAATAATCCTGACTGTTTCTCCCTTCTCAGGATTCCTACAGGAAACAAGTAGTAATTGATGGAGAAACCTGTCTCTTGGATATTCTCGACACAGCAGGTCAAGAGGAATACAGTGCAATGAGGGACCAGTACATGAGGACTGGGGAGGGCTTTCTTTGTGTATTTGCCATAAATAATACTAAATCATTTGAAGATATTCACCATTATAGGTGGGTTTAAATCAAGTGAGCCGATTACAACACGATCCAAAAATGAAAAATTTTGAAGTTGGAAGTTGCTTTGTTACTTTTGAGAAAGTAACAGTTTCAAGAATTAAAAGATTATGGTACTTTTGGAATACTGCAAATCCCCAGTAGTTGTGTTGACTAGTGGGTCGTTAGACATGTCTTAATAAGTTGTACAAAAAGCCGTGTAACCATAGTAAAAGCAAACTCGTTGCCGTCAAGTCGATTCCGACTCACAGCGACCCTATAGGACAGAGTGGAACTGCCCTGTAGAGTTTCCAAGGAGCGCCTGGTGGATTTGAACTGCCGTAGCTCTTAACCACTGCATCACCAGGGTTTCCCTAACCATAGTAGAAAGGATATTCAGCTGATGCCAGAATTGCTTTACAGTTTAGAAAATTTATTTTATTCCTTACTAGAGTAGTTCTTTACCAAGAGTCTTTTTCAAATATTCACATTGAGACTCTCTTTTTGGAGATTCTAATTTAGTTTATCTGAGATTAGGACTCAGTAGTGGATACTTTTGAGAAAGGTCCTAGATAATTTTGATAGGAACTCCTGGTTAGGAACTAATGTTCCGACAGTATTCTCTATAATACAGAGTTAACGTATTTGAGGTCGGGGGGATGGTGGTGGTGAAGTAAAATAGAACATGAAATATTGTAAAGAATGTGACTAATTAGAGGATATTTAGAGATTTAGGCGGTTACAATTTTCTTTACTGTTAAAATTCCAGATTTAAAAAAATTTTCATACTTGGCTGTTTCTACACTGTAATGTGAGAATTAAAAGGATTTGTTATGAATTATAGTAATTATATTTATTACATTTATTTACTGAGCTCTTGAGTTCAGGAAGGATTCTAAGTTCTTTATATATGTTAAGTTATTTAATCCTTCAAATGACCTTTCCAGGTTGGAGCTGTTGTTATCTCTTTCCAGATGAGGACATGAGGGCAAATTGTACTTTAAGTCATTTGCCTAAGGTCACACAGTAAGAGACAGCCTGGACTGTCTGGTTCCAGAGTTTGTTCTTAAGCACTGGGCAATACTGCCAGCAAATCTTTGTAAAGCTGAAGATTAGGAACTGTTCTACAATGTTATATTCTGTTTTGTCAAGAAAAGGATTTAAGACTTTTAAAAAGTATATATAATTTAAAAAATGTAACCCAAAGTAGTGAGAAAGATGAGGCCAAGAAAAGGTAGTGACCTAAAATGAAGCTTAGAGTGAGGTAAGTAACAAGATCTGTATTATAAAATCTTAAAGATTTACTGATTTTAGGACGAACCGTATGAAACCGTCCATAGTAAAAAGTTTTTGGCTTACAAAAACGGTAATTCCATATGATTTAATGTTCAACCCAGTAAGAGAATGCAATGTAAAGTTAGAATTTGACCCCAAGTAGAAAAGAATTGGAGTCCTTTTTCAGTTTCAGAGTTTTAATTGTTGATACAAGTATTTATCTCTTCACTATACCGGTCAGTATTTTATCATGGTGTGCATTAAAGAACCGTGTGTGATATCTGATATGGACTGCAGCATTAAAATTTAATGTCATTAATTGAATTTTGATTATTAAGATTAAATCGAAGCGAAAAATAGGAGCAAAAACTTCCCTTGTGTAACTTGTTTATTCAGTTGTTGCAATGTGTGTGAGTTTTTCAGCCTTCAGAAAGGTAATAGTAGTTAGAATACAAGAGGAGCAACATCACCTTTGCAGAAGCCAGGTATTATAAGGTATATTAATGCTGTATCAGGTCATGGATTAAATATAATAAATTGACATTAAGGAGTAATTATAGCTTCCGTTTATTGAGTCTTTGCTAATCACTGCACATATATTACCTGATTTAAATTTGAAAATAATTTTCGTGAGGTAGGTAATATACCCATTTCACAAATGAAGTTCTAGAGGATTAGAACAGTTGAGTAATTTGTCCTAGAGTGTATAGATTAAAAAACCTAAGCCTGTTTGACCCCAAAACCCTCTGTGCTTTTAACCTTCCATGCTAGAGAAAAGAGGCTTTAAACTTTTTGATATCCATCATAAAAATGAATACGATAAACAAAAATATGATAAAGTGATTTTGAAATGGTGCCACTCAAAGAGCCTTAAAAATGAGTATATTTTGAGTCAAATTTCTTAGAATTGGGTAAATATCAGCCTTGGATATTTGAAAAACAAAACAAAACAAACTCTGAACTTGTAAAAGATTGAAGAATTAGAACAAGTACTGTTTTTTAAGAATATGAAATCTGCATAGAACTGCTTTTTAAATAATCATTATTAAATGTACTTCTCTGTTTCTTTGAGGGCATGCAGTTTTCTTAAAACTACATACTAAGCAAATATCCCACTCATTGGCTAGGTCATATAACTGTGAATTTGCCTCATTAAGAGATTTAACATTGTACCTAAGTAATATTTACTAGAGCATATTTATAGTAATAGAGAAAAAGAAATTTGGGTGGGTGGTAGTATTTTTATAGATTAATATAGGTATATACTATACCTATAATGGTTGGCCCTGGTGGCGCAGTGGTTAAGAGCTCAGCTGCTAACTAAAAGGCCAGCAGTTTGAATCTACCAGCTGCTTCTTGGAAACCCTATGGGGCAGTTCTACTCTGTCCTGTAGGGTTGCTATGAATCGTAACTGACTCAGCGGGAATGGGTTTGGGTTTGGTATAATAGTTAATAGGTGGAGGAAACAGGGATTTGAACCATCTCTGACTTCCGCTCCTTCTTTGCTGCATCTTTGAAATTCACCTAAAACTGTAAAGGAATATAATTTCCCCCAAATTTAGATACTAAGTACAGCTTCTATTGAAAAATAGCAGCATATAGAAGGACTTTTAACAGAATAAACAGCATAGTGAGTTCAGTGTTGTCTACATAGAAATCAAAATCTTCCCACTTGGTACTCTCTTTTTTGACATAGGAATGTGAAAATTTATGTTAATATTATAATTCATGTTTTTATAAAAATATTTTTAAATTATACATATACATTTAACAAAAAATAGGATGTATTTCTAAGATTGTATTTTTTTAATTAGGCAAAGAACTTTTTCAGTCTCGAATTTTTCAGTATTTTGTTATCATTGTGACTTACCTGCATATGAACCTATTATATTGTAGTTTTACTATATTTCGAAGTGTTTGATCTTTTAAGGGATATATAAGATCTCTTTACGTGGAGAAAAAATATAATCAGATCTAGAAGACAAGTAAAGAAAGTTTGGTATGATGGAAACTAGGAATTATATTAAAAGTCTTCTTTCAGCCAAATTTTATAAAACAAAAGTTGTGGAACATTTTTGGTTAGATTTTTGAGTTCCTAATGTCTCTGCTTATAACTTTTTTTCCTCCTCAGAGAACAAATAAAAAGAGTTAAAGACTCTGAAGATGTACCTATGGTCCTAGTAGGAAATAAGTGTGATTTGCCTTCTAGAACAGTAGACACAAAACAGGCTCAGGACTTAGCAAGAAGTTATGGAATTCCTTTTATTGAAACATCAGCAAAGACAAGACAGGTAAGTAAAACTAACAAATACAAATCTGTTTCTTTTAAAAAAATCAATTGATTTCAATCATTGATCATAATTTACTAATATATATTTTAATAACATCATTGTAGGGTCAGGAGGGCAACAACATTAATAAATATACATACCTAATAGCATAATTATATTATTTAATGTGATTTATCAGTTTTTCTCTCCATTGCGGCAAAAAAGAAATAATGTTTATTTGGTAAATGTTCTTTTAAGGATATGAGAAAGTAGCACTTCTTAATCCAGTGTCCATGATGCTACTTTTGGGTTTGGTTTCTTCCCATATTGAAAATTTCTCTTCAACTCTAAACGTACCTTACATTCAGAATTCAAGAAATTTGGGGGTTTTTTCACTGTTAGATATATAAACACAAAGAACTGGGTAACAAATTTTGGGTTTCCTATTTTAGAAGTGCTTTTAAGAGTAGTATGTCATATGTATCTAGGTTAAATTTTGTTGTATTTGAAGAAATTTACTTTGGCAGAATTCTTTTAATGGTATATTTATTTTTGGAGGAGGTTTTCATTAAAGCAAGAGAATATTTAGAAGTAAATAGAAATTCTCAGTTATTCATTTACTGAAGTGTTCTGACAAAAATTAATGCCAGATGGACCCTGAATTTTGTTTTAAAAATTATCTTCATTTTAAAAATAACTTTTTCTCTAGGTAAAAATAAAATGATTTCAGCTGATATCATTTTAACCTATATTAACATATAGGAAAAAAAAATCCTAGAAAAGAATATACAAGTATATGATGGAATAAATTTTCATATACTAAGAGATTGGTCAATTTGTGTTCCTTAGAAAGTGAACATTTGTTTTGGACTTTTTCTGGTTACATGTACCTATGAACCCAGAAAACTAATTTTGTAGAATTTACCTTTGGTGATGTAATGTAAAAAAATCGATGAACAACTCATTACATAGTTAAATGTTTAAAAGCAGGCATTCTGGAACTTTTATTGAATTTTGTAAAGGGATAAAAATTAATAAATAATCATTCAGCTATATTTGTCTGTTTTCCATGTGGAAGTTCATATTTACCGTCTAGCTGTACAAATTTGGTACACAATGAAAAAACAAATTTTATTTTAAGTATTTGTTTTGGAATTAAACTGAATTTCTGTAGCTTGACCATTTTTTTATACTACAGATATCTCATTCATGGTAATTTTACTAACACCTAATTAATAGTTAAATAAAGATTTGATGTATATCACATCACTTTATTTTAGAAGAATTAAGATTTCATTCAAATCCATTCCCAAGTCTCAAAGACTGGGAAAGAGGTTTGATTTTTGTCTTCTTTTTACTGGTCTTGTCTGACTAGTCTTCCGATTTTCCTGAGGAGAAGAGCTTAGAAATCATGATTTTAATATAATTTATAACATTTCCCCCTAACATTTTATGAAAATCTTCATTATAAAATGGAAAGAATTTTACAGAAAACATTTACAAACTTACTACCTAGAGTCTATTAACATTTTACTATACTTACATTATTTATAGCTTTTGAAACTAGTGAGCATATTATATGTTTCACAAAGAAAAGAAAAATCATAAGCAGTGCTTTTCATATTTTAATGTGCACATGAATCAACTGGGCTTCTTATTAAAATCCAGGTTCTGATTCATTAGCTCAGTGTTGGGACCTGAGATTCTGCATTCCTTACAAACTCTCAGGTGATGCTGATTTGGGGGCATAGACTACACTTTGAGTAGAAAGGCAATTGTTGTTAGGTACCATGGAGTTGATTTTTGACTCATAGTGACCCCATGTGACAGAGTAGAATTGCCCCATAGGGTTTTCTAGGCTGTAGTCTGTCTGGAACTTGATCGCCAGATCTTTCTCCTGTGGAGCTGCTGGCTGGGTTAGAACCACCAACCTTTAGGTTAGCAGCTGAACGTTTAACTGTTGGCGCCACTAGAGCTCGAGAGAGGTCAGTAAAAAGAGTCCTCTTGTTACTCCCGCAAATGTAGCTCTCCATTTCTCATTTGATAAGAGCCTAAAATAGCTGTGTCTTCTTTCCTTGTTGATTACCACCTCATAAGTACTCATTGATTCTTTTATTCAACACTAATGCTTTAATATGGAGCCCTGGTAGCCCAGTGGTTAAGAATTTGGCTGCTAACCAAAAGGTTGGCAGTTTGAATCCACCAGCTGCTCCTTGGAAACCCTGTGGAGTAATTTTATTCTGTCCTATAGGGTCGCTATGAGTCGGAATCGGCTCAACTGGCAGTGGGTTTTGGCTTCAGTATACCACAGCATGCATAATTAAACAATAAACTCTCTGGCTTCCTTTTTTAAAGTAGATTTTTAGGTTTCCTAATGCTTTGTGGCCTTGTTTGTTTGTTTGAAGGTATATGTAGGATGTATGATATGGAAGTGGATTAACTTAAATTTGCTTTGTAGACATTTATGTGAATCATCTAATTAAAGTATAGAGGAATATGATATTAAGGAATACTTGTAGTTCCCAACCTTCTAGCACTCAACCTTTCTTAGTTATCTCTTATTTTATTAATGTCTTTATGTAATTTGTTGCTTAGATATTTAATTTCTGATCTTTATTTTTATTAAATACACTTGTTGATTTACTTAGAAATGAATTTGCCTTCAAAGTTTATTCATTTTCCTTTGTTGAAATTAATATCTATATTTGCATGCCTTTAGAAGACTTTAAAGAGCTATTCCAAGTAATTGTAAAGATTATGAAATGAAATTGTAGAGATTATAAATTTTACATCTCCAGTTTTTATGAATAAAATTTGAAGCCCTGCTTACTGCAGAGTATTTTATTTGTTGCTCATCTGTTATTAGGTTTTTTTTAAAACTTGTTATTTGGATAAAATAAATATGAATATCCTTGTATTTTATTAAGCAGCTACTTGTTTCATGCTCTAATTTTGGTCTTTGTCATTAACGTAAAATACAAACACCAAAAGGAATTATATTCAGGTTAGTTGAATATAATTCATTTAGAAGTTCTCATAGATACAAGTTAGAGGTGGCAAACTTTTTCTGTAAAAGGCCAGATAGTAAATAGCTTTGTGGACACGTGGTATCTGTTGTATATTCTTCTTCTTCTTTTTTTTTTTAAACTACTCTTTAAAAATGCAAAAATCATTGTTAGCTTGTGGGCAGTGTAGAAATCGGCTGTGGTTGCGTTTGGCCTGTGTTTGCTGATCTCTAATTCCCGAGGGAGCTTCACAGTAGAAGTTAGGTCAGAATTTTGACTTAAATTTTACAAGCTGACATTAGTAATTTTAAAGTAAATATTCAATATTATGTGAAAGGGAAGTAGGAATTTTATTCTAGTACTTTTTAAGATAAGGATTGCAGACTACATATTTTACCAGCTTGATTACTTTGTAATTTTAGAAAGCCCATTATATGGTCCAAATATAATGAATTATACTTTACGATTGTTTTATCTGAAAGGCCAAATAAGTTTTTAATGGTCGCAATGAGTCGGAATTGACTCGACGGCAATGCGTTGTTTTTTTTTAAGTACGCTGTATATGGCTCCTATTTTCTAATGTATAAGGACTGTTACCTAGTTCACATTTATATGGGCAGTTAGTAATTGACAAATTGTTTTGGCCCCTTTGGGCAGTGCATGGCAGTGTTGGCAAAGGCTGTTGAAACTGAAATGTAGACACTGTGGGAATCAGCTGTCTGTTTTCCATTCTGCTAAAATCAAAGTGGGAAGGGTTCAGTAAAGAAGATGGCAGGAGTAGAGTTCTTAGAGTATCTGATACTCCTGTTTCAGCTTTTTGGATTTCTGGAGGTCTCAATTTTAGCATAAGATGAAAATTAATTTCACGAACTTAAAAATGTTGAGTGATTAATTTCCTGGTTTATTATTCACTTCTAGTTACTTAAAATTAGTTAAAAGACCTATATTAAGGAACATTTCTGATTAAATTATTTTTAATAAGAAAAATAGAAAATTCCTACCTGCCATATTTTTATATTTAATAGAATTTGTATACATGAGAACAATATTTTGAACTTTAGCTTTTTATGAGTTAAAAACAGACAACAATTACTGAGCATCTGCTATGCATCACACATAGTTTCCCAAGTGCTGGTCGTGATGTGTTTCAGTAGTACCCCAAGTGGGCTGTAGTTTGGCAAGATTTCTTGAGAAATTCAGGGATACAGAGTTAGATTTTAAAATACATCTTGTTCCTCCCACTCCCCTCCCCCAAGAATCCTGGTATTCTTGCATCTGTATAAGTTGGAGCATTTGATGTGTTATTTCCTTGAAAGAGTTTGCAAGAATTTTTGCATATACTAAGCCACTCCACAGGAAGAAATACTTGTTTAAAGAGAAACCTTTTAGTGAAAGCGTTATACCTGTTGCCGTTGAGTGGATTTTGACTAATAGGGACGCTATAGAACAGAGTAGAACTGCCGGTTTAGGGTTTCCAAAGCTGTACATCTTTACGGAAGCAGGCTGCCACATCTTGCTGGGTTCGAACCACCGACCTTTTTGTTAGCAGCTGAGCGCTTAACCACTGCACCACCAGGGCTCCTTAGGCACCAGGATATAGCATGATGCTATTTGTTAATGATTCTTTATCCTGTATGGAGTGCTCTGTTTTCATAGTCTCAAAAGTACGTTTTCAGATAATAGTTGAACTGAAAATGTTGTCAAAGCTCTTCATTTTAATATTCTTAGATATTTAAAGTTACGTACTTTGCTCCTATGTAAATATTTTCAATTGTTCTTAAGGTTTAATAAGTGATATTTGAAAATGAATCTATGTGGCAAGAAGTCAGTCTCAAGAACAAATCATTTAGTGCCATTTAAGTACTTAGCAAGTGGCCACAGTGGGTATTAGATATGTTTTGTCTATATTGTATCTTTAAAAATTGCCTACGCCTTTTTTTTTTAAAGAATTTTTTGTTGTTGAGAATATAGCCTAAACTTTTTGGAATATGAAATCAGTGTTCTATTTTGTACATATACACTGTACAGTAAGTCCCTGGGTTACAAACAACTCATACTTAGTCTTTAATATTATGTAAATTTGCCCTCACTTTGAAACTCTTCGCAACAAATTCATCACGGTCTTGTTCACTTGCTGTTCCTGCAGCTTTTAAATCATTGAAAAGGCTTTGAGCCTTTCTTGTACTAAAGTGAGGCTAAATAAGAACCCTATTCACCTGTTCCAGCTTACCTACAAATTCAACTTAAAGACACATTAAGGAACCAATATTGTTCGTAACCCAGGGACTGCCTGTGTGCAGTTTCTTAAAATATGAGTCAGGTGCCAGTGGCTTAAAGTACACACAAGGATAAATAACAGTTTCTCATGGTCTCGATGTCAGTTTTCTTGATGTCCTGATGTCAAACTTTAAAGCATATTATCAAGACATAACTATTTTTTAAGTCTGAGAAAATATGGCTCTTTAAAATCTAATTTAAATTTCATAATAGTGAAAGTAAAAATGGAAAAAGTCATTCTGGATAACTGTTTCTCTATGTTAATTGTCTTAGCCACTGAGGCTCTAACACTGAATTCTTGGTGGTGGGCAGAAATCTCTTCTTTTTAATTATTGACTTCCAATTCTCTCTCTGCATTGCTGGAAACAAAAATCATATATTCTGGTATTGGTGATGGGAATGCTCACACTGAAAAAGTAAACACATTCAAAGTGATTTTAGAAATAAGTTGTAATCAAAATTTGTTTCTGCTAAATTAGTAGAGGACCAATACCCTATTTTCCCCCCTTATAGCTTATGTTTTGGTACTTCTACACTGACCTTGTAACTTACAAAAAAAGAATAAGAATTTCAAGAAAATATGAGCTTTTACCTGGTTTGTTTATATATATATATTTTTAAATTTCTTGGATTGATTTTCAAACCAAAAGAGAATCCGTTTGTGAAAGTATTTAAATGCCAGCTCATGCTTTGCCAAAGGGTAATTTTAATGCCTTAAATTATTTATCTTGCTTAATAATAAAAAGTTCTAATACATAATTTTTTCAAGAACATGAGGAAAAAAACCCTTTCCTTTTGAGAATAAATGATAAATATAAACCATCAAAAAAAAAAAAACCGTATGTAGGTAGAAGTGAGCATCTAATTTAAAGTTCTAACAGTGATTTAAGAAAATAGTTAGAAATTTTTACTTCTAGTTGGCTTAGGTAGCTAGTTGATTAAATTGAGCCCGTGAAAAATAAGATACAAATCTTCTAGGGTTAGAACGGTTTTTGGTATTAGATCATTGAATAGAAATATATCACTGAGTGGTGTATGTTAGTAACTTCAGACATAACCCTAAACATATTATTTAAATGCCTGCTTCTTAATTGAAACTTAATTTTATCAGTAATTAAGGGTTTATTTTAAAAGTAAATTACTGAACTTTACTGAAGCAGTTTTTGATATACTCTTGAGATTTGTAGAAATTAGTGTACCCTAAAAAATTGAGGTGGATTGTTTTTTTTTAAATTGTTCCACGCAATGGATAGAGGAATGACCTCTACATGCAAAAATTAAGCTGTAGCTTAATTTCAGTTAATATTTAAGGGGCCAATTCTCTGTGCCTGATTGAATTTAAAACTACAAATTATACTTTTGATAAATATTAGCTTTTTAGGTCCTGGGTCCGTTTTGTCATATTTGGTTCATTAGAAAGAGTTAAAATATGCTAATTCCCAAAGGAGATGATTCGTTCTTAAAGTTAAAAGAACAGAATAAACTTAAAATTAAGCATCCAGTAAAATATACAGTGAAACCTGTGAGGGCGGGAACTCGACGGGACTGTCTTGTTCTTCTGGGTCTTGCAAGTTTTCCACCTTTGAGAGGGTGCAGTCTTACCACTTCACCATTGCTCTCTCCTTAGTGGAAAATAAATATTGAGTTTTCCTTCTCTGACAGGTTTCTACCTTACACGGGTTCCAGCTTTCTCAGGTTTTACTGTACTAGCTTTCTAAGCTTTACATCTCTTTTTTTAGAAGTATGAACAGAAATATTACATCTGTTGATTTTTACTACATGCATATTAGTATTTCTCTACACTTCTCTTTTAGATGTTAGCTTCTACTTTGGGTGGTATGTTTTTCTGGAAAGCTAGTGGTATTTAACTAAGCACCTTGTCCTCTTTGGCTACTGCTTCATTTTCTGGCCTGGAAGAGATGTTAAGAACTCTTTGATCTTCATATGGCCATGTAAGATTGTGCCCCTTTGAAGTATTTAAATTAGAAGGTACAAAGCCAGTGTAATTGGATTCCATTCTAAAAATTATTTTAAAGACTTATAGTAAGGTAGTAATGATAAAGAAATGCATTGCTAGCATTTTATATGTATATTTTTAACGGTTCATTATGTTTTTATATTATGGCCAATAGCCCGCATTTAACATTTTCTTTTAAATAATTTATTTAGCCATCCACAAAAGTCCCAATGTGTTTCTTCCACTTATGGAGCCTAGATATTGACTGGACAGTGTTGTAATTGAAGGTAGAACTCAGGGTTCCGGTCTTTTGACCCTGCTTTATTTTGAGTTGCTTAATTTTTTTGAGCAAAGATTGTACGTCCCTATTGTACCACTGTCCCCCTCTCCGCGCAAGATAAGGGTAGAGAATCAGTGGTGCGTACATCGTGTTTTTTCCCTAAGTCAGAGAAATACTAACTTCAGTTCAAGCTTTGATTAATTCCATGCCTAGCAAACTAAAATGATGGCATTAATTGGCAACAGTACTAATACTATTCAGGTTTTTTATAATCTCCACTGATTCTTAATTAAAAATATATTTTTAAATATACTAATTCCATTAAAACAAAACTGACTTTTTAGAACAAACCAGGATTCTAGCTCATATTTAAAAATTGCATCCTCAGCTTAATTTTATTTAAATAATCGTATCTCTTTAAAAAAAAAAATCTAAGGTAAAGCTCATGATTGAGACTTCTTGAACATGGCTGTCCCAATAAATTACTCTTACCAATGAAACAAACTTTAAAGAAGTTGTGTTTTACAATGCAGAGAGTGGAGGATGCTTTTTATACATTGGTGAGAGAGATCCGACAATACAGATTGAAAAAAATCAGCAAAGAAGAAGAGACTCCTGGCTGTGTGAAAGTTAAAAAATGCATTGTAATGTAATCTGGTAAGTTCAGCATTTTGGCAGAAAGCAGATGTTTTCAAAGGTAACAAAGTAGCAACCATTTTGGAATTACTTAGGTGTGGTATTCTAATTTGAGGTATTAAAAGATAAGAAACCTGTAGTTTGTTTCCATAATTAGTACATTTATTTTGAATCTATTGGGTGTTAATTATAATTGAGATAGCTTTGATGACTGTAGTAGACTCTAATCTACAATCCTCATAGGGTCTAATGATTTAATTACTCTTAAGTAAACTAAATATTTGGGAACTGATACTATCTTTAGTTTTAAAGGAAATCAGGCTCAAGTTTTGAGATAATCTACAGCTTTTGTTTTGTTTTGTTTTTTTAAAAAGAGAGTGAAATATAAGAAACGGTATAGAGTTATAATGTGAATGGCCCAAGAAGGTGGCAAAGGGTCACTCTTAAGTGTTTTTCCTTTTGGTTGTTTCACAAGCAAATAGCTGTTCTTTTTCCTGTGTTTTCTGACTCCATGGCATTGACATGAGAAACCTGGGAGTCTTAAGATGACTCCTACCTCCCTCTTTCTCACCCCCATTTGGAAGCAGCCACAAATTCCTTTTATGGTATACGCTGTGTCTTTTATCACATTACAAGTTCAGATGCCTACGTTTCTTGTTGGGACTATTTTAACCTCCTATTTGGTTTATCTGTTACTGCCATCATTCATCAACCAGAAAGACAGATACATAAAAGAAATCATTGTTTTCCTAACTTTGAATCCAGTCAGTGACTTCATGTTACCTATGGAATAAAGTCTCAAGTTCCATAGCATCTCAGGTTTGGCCCTACCACCTTCCTACCTCTCTAGTCTTTTTTGGCCTTACATCTAAAAATAATTTCTTCTTGCCTGAAATTTTTTTGTCCTTGTATAAACACTGTGTTATTTCATACCTTTCCTTGAGTCTTAGCTCATACTGTTGCTCACTTGGAATGCTAATATTCTTATCCCCAAGTCCTGTTAACTAGCTAAAACCTAACCTTTCAGGATTCTCCAATCCCCGGTTCTCTAAGAATTTTTTCTTTAAACCCTTAGGCTGGGCATAATGCTCCTGCTGTATATTCCCATAATATTCTGTTTTAACTTACTGTGTTATATTGAAATGACCTCTTTAATGTTTGATTCCTCTACTAGGCAATAGGATCTTAGTAACAGAGATCATGTTTTTAATCTTTACATCCCAATTACCTGTTGAAGCTCCTGGCACGTAATAGCTGCCCTGTAAAAGTTTATTGAGCAGAATCTCAATTACCTTTCTAAACCAACCCATATTAAATTCTGTCTTCGTCAGAAAATTATTCATTTAATAGATAGCATGATGTTCATGCTAATTATAATTTTCAAGCTACTACAATATTATTATACTTACTAAGCTAAAAGTTGGTATTCTTTATTCTATAAATGTTAAGTCTGACATAGTGAATGTATCTCCTGAAAGTGTCAAATACACATCTGAATAGTAGACTCAGTCCCAAAAGATACTATATGGTATACAGTCTACTAAACTCAGAAGAAGAAACAAAGCATGGCTGGCATGAATTTTTATTGAGATTTATGAACACAATATTTTTCAGGGATCATTGTGAAAAGCCGTGTATTTAAGATTTGAATTTGTGGTAAAATTTAGCATTACAATGCAATTTGAAAGTTAAATTTTTTAAATAGCAGTGACCATGACCAGATTTCACTAGTGGTTTTAATTTTTTCCTTCTGTTGTTTCCCTATTAGACGATTTTAAAAGTAGAACTGTGTAGAGATAAGCATAAATTTTATCCTTTAATTATTTAAAATTAAGTTGTATGCCAGTACACTATTCTGAAATTTCTGATTTGTGCAGGCTGTTTTCAAATTGACTTGTGTACTGTGAATGTCAAAAAAAATTGTTGGACATGATAAATTGAAAACTTGTTTTCAGTGGATATAGCATTTACAAAAAACAAAAATATACTTGGTAATATTTAAAAATTTTTATTAAAGTCAAAATATTTTTTACAAAATTAATTCAGTAATGATAAATATATGCAAATTCATTTTTATTAGTCCTCAAAATGATAAAATAACACTAGGATGCTACTTTTGTCTTTTATATGTATGTATCAGAATAATTAGTTCCCATATGAGAAAAAGGAATTAGCTGCCCTATTTAGGTTCATTGTGACATTTCCCTAATCATTAAAATTATTTACTTTTAAAAAGATTACTTAGAAAGTAGAGTTCAGTGCAGCCTGAGCCTAAAATACCTGTCAATCCTAGAACAGTGTAATGTTATCAAAGTCTGTCTTAGTGTCATTGTCTTTTAAGTACTTGTCTATTGTTTTCACCTTAGAATGTGCCCTCTCTACAGCCATCTCTTGGTTTTTCATTCTGTCAGCTTATCTCGGTACCATTGACATAGACTACAGAAGGATGTGTGATGAGAGGGAATTTTTCGCAAAGGGTAGGGAAGTTGGATTAGATGCTTTTTAATGATTCCATCCCATCCTAAGGGTTTATGATTCTAAACTAGTCAAGTGTTGGTGAGCTAAAGAATAATATTCTTTATTATATCATTGGAAGTTTTTCTTTATCTATGTGTTAAGGTCAGCATGAAGATATATTAAGGTCTATGCAGGTATATTAAAGCCATCAATGGTGGAACCTTGATTGTATTGCTGATAAATTGTTTCTTATCACTTTTCCTCTCTTGGGAGAAAAAAAGCATGTAAGTTTTTATGTTATCAGTAATGATATCAGACAGTGGGGGACATCAGTAAGTGCAGTGTGGGGACTTTATTCACTAGTATTCAAATCAGTAATGCTGGTTTTTATCTTACAGCTATTTGTTTAAATGTGGCAAGGCCTCTCGTTTGAACCGTGTTTACTTCTTTTAAAATATTGGGTCATGCTTTTTCGAATTATACCTGTAGATTATAAATATTAGTTAAATGTAACTTGAAATAAAATGCCTGGAATAAATTTTGTTACTGTCTTGAAATACTGATTCTGAAAGATCTTAGTAAAGCAGTAGTCAGATCCCTGTTAAATTTTTAAATTTTACATTATTTTCAAGTTAATATAACTTAAAGAATGTATTTATTACAAATATTCAATGGAAGTGATTACAATTACCAAAACCCAGTTTTTCATCGTTCTTAAAGGGGCTTGATTTATACACTTAACTTGTTGAGTATTTGTTCTTAAGACTCCCTCTAGTGTCTAGATTTGGAAGCATTATTGAACAGGTTTTCTTTTTATAGTTACTACTCAGTTGAAGAGATTTAAAAATACATAGAGGATAGTATTTTTTTCTTTAATTAAATTTTTATGATGTTTTTACTTGCCTTTCATTTACTTTTTAACAGGGGCATGACACAGATGATTTAAGTATGGATCTTTTATAATTTAAGTATTGCAGGGTTAAAAAGCTGTTCTGCTACTGTTAGTGTGCCATTTTTCATGTGATGGGTTATTATTAGGTTGAAAATTATTTTGACTTGAAATCACTTTTAGCCATAACAGATTTAATAGCTTGCTTTGATGACAAATACATGTAGGCAACAATAACCAAACAGAAAACTCTTTGAAGATATGGCATTTGGCTTTGTATGGCTAGCTTTTGAATAACCTAATTTATTAAACAGAAACTAAAATAATAATACATTAAAAAGAATCTCCTCCAAATTAGCAAACTACAATACCATTCAAAGGATTTGACTCATTTCTCCACAAATCAAAATAGTATATCTTGTTTAGAGGTAACTTTAATAACTTTTCATTACCAAATTTTTATTTTTTTAAAAAAATTTTGTGATGGCATGTGTTTTCAGTATTAGGGTGCATGCTTATTAATTGAGTGTGTTTAAATTTTTGGTTGGTAATATGGATTTTGAGAAGTATAATCTGGTAATACAAACCACCAGTAAGGTGAGGGGCACTTTGGCACCACCGATGTGTGGTATGACAATATACCAGTAAGAACTCTAAGTCAAGAATTTATTGTGGGTGCCTTTCCATTAGGTTACATGGGGAATCTCTGGTTTTCCAAATATGTCACAGAAAAAACAAAACCAACCCATCAGTGCTCCTTAACAATCACACAGGAAAGCCATAATTATGCTTGCAAGACTTATCTCAGAAATAAAGGGAAAAAAAGGCAAACGCTTATAAAACTAGCACATCCAGGAAGCATCACCAAATAGAATGCTAAACCTACACAACAGTGAGGCTCTAACTCTGCTGATCTTCATGCATTTCAGAAGGGACCCACCTTGTTGCTAATTAAATGCATTAGAACCGGAATAATGCCTTCCTACCAGGTCCAGAGGCATAAAAAGTGGTTAAACCAATAGTAACTAAAGAGTTAAACCTCTTTCTTACATGATAAGTATATGAATTGAAACTAGCATTTTTCATATGTCTTATTTGAAAACTGAAAGTATATTCAAATAGTTTACTCCTTACTAAGTTATTTAAATCTAATGGGTTTTACATAAATATTGAACCAGAGCTCACATACTGCTGAATATGTATGAAAATTATATATACTTGCATGGCTATACCTAAAGTCCAGAAGAAACTCAGGGATAATTACACACACACACACACACGTGCACAAATACAGATTCGTTTGGATTTTGCTGACTCGGGTTTTCCATTGTGGAAAAATTAGTAGCAAATTAAGTTCTGCTGGGAAGAATGTTATTTGTTAACTTTATCTAAAATTCCATGCCATTGATTATCATTGCCTATTGTGAAAGTTAACGTTCCTGTGTATAATGCTGACAGAATACATGAAGAGGACATTTAAGAATTCCAGAAGTCTGATATATATACAATTTTCCAAAGAGAAATGTGAAGTTCCCTTAATCTCAGTATTAATGTTTCCATTAGTAAAAAATGTTTTCTGTCATCTGTTTGCCTCAGACCATCATATATAAATACTTATATTTTAATATTTTTTATGTATTTCAGGGTGTTGATGATGCCTTCTATACATTAGTTCGAGAAATTCGAAAACATAAAGAAAAGATGAGCAAAGATGGTAAAAAGAAGAAAAAGAAGTCAAAGACAAAGTGTATAATTATGTAAATACAATTTGTACTTTTTTCTTAAGGCATACTTAAGTAAAAGTGGTAATTTTTGTACATTACACTAAATTATTAGCATTTGTTTTAGCATTACCTAATTTTCTTTCTGCTCCATGCAAACTGTTAGCTTTCATCTTGAATGCTTATTTTAAAATGACAGTGGAAACTTTTTTTCCTCTAAGTGCCAGTATTCCCTGAGTTTTGGTTTTTGAACTAGCAATGCCTGTGAAAAAGAAACTGAATACCTGACATTTCTGTCTTGGGGTTTTTGGTGCATGCAGTCGATTACTTCCTATTTTTCTTACCAATTGTGAACTTCCGTGTGAAATGAGTTAATGAAGCTTTCAAATCATCCCTATTCTGTGTTTTATCTAGTTACATAAATGGATTAATTACTAATTATAACTTCAATTGAGACTTCATGATTGGTTTTACTGAAACATTGAGGAAACACTTTTATGGGCTTCCTGTAGATTTCATCCAGGCATCCTGTCCTATAGTTTTAGATTAACCCTAATGAATATAAAGTTACACTGTTCACAGAGATTCCCCCCGCCTGCCCCTTTTCCACTGCTATTTGTCATGGTCACTCCCCCAAAATATTATATTTTTTCTATAAAAAGGGAAAAAAATAGAAAAAAAAATGCAAGGAAATGGAAAATATTAAAAGGCCATTTACTTTCCACATTAGATAAATTCCTATAAGATTTCTTATAGCTTTTCCTGTGAAGGCAGACCCAGTATGTAATGGGGATTGTAGCAACCATTTTGTGGCTGTATTTACTGTATTTTTTATGCAAATAAGATGCACCTTCTACAGTTATTTGCCAACCACTCCCTCCCCCTGCAGGATATTTTTGTAAGTGCTGCTGTGCCAGTTGTTTTTTATATGTTGCTGTAAAAAAAATTAGCATAGCGCACTTACAAAAAACCCTCACGGGGAGGGAGTGGTTGGCAAACAAACGGTAGAAGGCGCACATTCTTTGTGTAAAAATATGATACATGCCACTAAATTTTTGTAATAATTAAAAAATTTTACATAAAAAATACTCATAGGAATTAAATATAGTCTTCCTGTGTCAGGTTGCTCTTTCTTAGCATACTGTTAAATTTTTTCTTGACCTTCAGTCTTTGAAAATAGTTTTCATTCTGGTAGTGATGTTAAAGATCATTTGGGCCAGTTAGCTTAGTAGGTGTTTAAGAGGCCGAGATTGCAAGTTTAGGCCCTGTGTTGACCTTTGCAATTCATTGAGGGTTTCCCAGCCATGGACTGCATCCCTATGGTCATTCAGTGTTTTTATGCATGGGTTGGTGGAAAATGGGGACTGGGAGAGCGTTTGGATAGCTCAGCAAGATGAATTCTCACTACGTGGTGGTCCTATGGACAGATCTGGAGCATCACTTCTGTTTAACAACAGAACTTTTTTGTTTTAAATTATTTTAAAATGTTAACTTAAAAAGAGTTGAGATTGGGGGAGGGCCAAGATTTTAATTTAAAAAAAAAAAAATGAAAGAGTTTCAGAATCCTTAGTTTTAGCCAGCTTTTTCTAACAGTGGCTAAAGTAACATTCCATAAACACTTTTTAAGTCTGGTCCATATTTAAGAATATGTAATGCTTAAAAAATGGATAAATTAACATTAACAAATGATTCTTTCAATACATTTAAAGTGTTACTTAATTTAAAATATTTGAAGTGAGATGGTGTGGTAAGGTGAAAATATCACTGGACTAGGAGAAGAGAGACTGATTCTAGTTATGTGTCTTTTAGAATTCTGACTTTGGGGAAATCACTTTCCATTTCTTCGTGTTCAAAGAAGTCATCTCAAAGGTTCTATCTAGCTTTACAGTTTTGTGATTTACATTCAGTTAACTTAAGACACTCCTTATATGTCAAGCTCAGCACAACTTGTAACTTCTTACTTGTATTATCATCTTCAGTGCTGTCCTTTAGGCAAAATTGTGCAAGAGGTGAAGTTTACTTCTGAATATCCATTCTCCATTTTCAGGAGTCATTAGTGTCATCTTATCTGCCTACCCTCCAGATGCCCCAGTGACTTGATGCTATTTTTTTAAAATCTAATTCCCCTAACCTCCCTTAACTTCAGGATGTATTGCTGCTATGGATATCCCCATGAAATCACGTCAGATTGTCCTACATCTTATTTCCTTGGTGCTCAGGATAATCTAACAGATACATAATGGGGCTTGACCTAAGAGCTGATTGTCAGGTGGAGCCTGCAGCAGTTTAATCTTGATCCTTTGAACATCATCTCTTTGCTGCCTGGTCCATTAGTGACTAAGGTAGGAATCTGCAAACTCATTATAAGTAGACAGAACCCTATACAGTAGAAGGAGGATTTTATAAAGGTAGTGCTGAAAAAATTCCTTAAATAATCTACAACTAAGATTAGCCCTGATAACAGAGATATATTCCATTGTTTTAATAATTAAAATCTTAAAAGGAAAAATACTTTGAAATTTAATTTATAAAACTTGCTTTTTAGCAAAATTCATTTGCATATTCATCAAATCTCTACTAGATGATAGGCACTATGCAGGGCACGGGGAATATTATGGTATCCCCAAACAGGGGACATAATCCCTGTCCTTAAATAGTGCTTATATTCCAGAGTGGTCTGTGATAATCTTAGTGAGGCATTTGGCACATGGCCCAGAGATAACACAATGCATACTTTAGTTTTGCAAAGAAGGTGTTTGGTCTCTAAGGTTTCTTCTAGTTCTAAAATAATTGTTTTGCTGTGATTCAAGTGCAACTGTTTAATCAAGCCACTTTATATGAATCACTTTAAATCACTGTTTTAAAGGAGTAAATTTGAGTCTTTTTATTTGACACATCTGTGATTCAGTTATGATAATTATGGTACATTTTAAGTTGTACATTATATAATAATACTAAAATACCCAAGTGTGTAATATTCCAGTTGGTCTCTTTGTATAAATAATTAAAATAGACTAAAAAAATTAAATATTGAGTTTTAAAATAATTTTGTTTATCTGGAAACAAACAGGTGCCTGAACTAATTCACAGAAAAGGAAATAATTTATATTCTGTGTAAAAATCAATATGATTTCTGAAATGCTGTGCTAAAATGCAGATTTATGGAACATTGTTTAGGTAGCGTATTAAGATTTATGCATTACCTCCTCTTGTTCTAGACAAGAGAAAGAAATGGCCATACTTCAGAAGTTGCAATGCGTAACTGAGGGGATTTTTAGGACTCTTGAATTTTTGATGTAGCTGGGCAATTTTTTTTAAGGCAGTGGTAATTATCCATTATTATGTGGATTTTGAATGGTTTGATGATAAATTGTTTTTGTAGAGATTTTAAAGGGGGAGACGATCCTAGAAATAAGATGTTTTCTAATTGTTACAGCCTTAAAGATAAAAATCCTTTTTGAAGTTAAAAAATTGCTAAAATACATAGTCTTAGACATTAACATGTTTGTGGAAGAATGTAGCAGAAGTATGTAGTATAATTTGAGTGAATATTCCCTATTAGGAATGCTAGGTTCTGTTAACTGAGTCACACTGCATAGGAATTTAGAGCCTAACTTTTATAAGTTATCAACAACCTTTGCCACCATTGCACAATTTTGTCCTAATACACAGAGAAACTTTGTGAGGCATGTTAAGTTGCAGTTTGTACAAGTTCATCTCATTTGTTACCGTGATTTTTTTTTTTCTTCTAACCATTTTTTCCCAAACGATATATATGCATTTAATTTTGAGGGAGACAATAAAAACTATCTGAAGTCACTTACATTTGTCAGAAAGTAATAATCTTGATAATTATGTATTAATGATTCAAAAAACCCAGCGGTTACTTTAAAGCTGAATTTATATTTAATAACTTCTGTGTTAATATCAGGTAGCATGAATTCTGCCTTGAGAAACTGAATACCATACAACTGGTAGCTGTAAATTCAGTCAGAATATGAAAATTATTTCTTTCTGAAGACATGTTCACATCAGTTCTTATAGAACAGTCATAACTAGTTTAAGATTTGTGTTTAGGCTAATAGTTTTAAGTGCCTGTTTGGGATAATAGGCAACTGATGAATTTAATAAAAACAAAGTTATTACCTGCAGAAATGTCCATTACAGAGGGTTTCCTCCTATAGAGCTAAATGGGTTAAATAATGTTTTATCCAAAAGTTTCCAATTCCACTGTCTTGTGTTTTCATGTTGAAAATACTTTTGCTTTTTTTCCTTTGAGTGCCAGTTTCTTACTAGTACTATTTCTTAATGTAACATGTTTACCTGGAATGTATTTTAACTATTTTTGTATAGTGTAAACTGAAACATGCACATTTTGTACATTGTGCTTTTTTTTTTTTTTTTGTGGGATATATGCAGTGTGATCCAGTTGTTCTCCATCATTTGGTTGCGCTGACCTGGGAATGCTGGTCATATCAAACTTTAAAAATGACCACCGTTTTAATTAAAATTAACTTTTAAATGTTTATAGGAGTATGTGCTGTGGAGTGATCTGAAATTTGTAATATTTTTGTCATGAACTGTACTACTCCTGATTATTGTAATGTAATAAAACTAGTTATGGTGACTATGAGAGTGTGTATTTTTTTATGGAAATTTGAAACATTTGCCCTGCAGTTGATACAAAATATTTTATAAGCCACAGATACTGAAGCATATTAGTGACTCATTCTGTTGCAGATTATTAAGTTAGAAAAATTATGTATTTATGAAAGGTGCTGTGAACATTATGTAGAGGTTTTAAGTGTTTGATTAAACTTAAAACCATGCTATGTTTTAAGTCCATTGCCATATTAATTTAGAAGTAGATGGAAAACAAATCTGCCGTTATGACAAAAGAACAGAATTATTTATTTTATTATTTTTTATCAGAAAAGTTAGTTAATGCAAAACAAGTAATTTGTTTTAAGGCCCCAAGGGAGCCAGCAGTGAAATTAATAATGGAAATAATTGATTAAGTATTCTATCTAATGCCAATCACTGGCAGGGTATTTCTAGGTCAGAAGTCAATCTTACTCCATATATGCATATATATTACTTACTCAATATGTATAATTATTTCTATAAGTACATTTAAATCATTACCAGATGTTATTTGTTTTGTAGTAAACTTAAATATGTACTATTAATATACCAAATTGGGTCAAAGATAAGTTATTCCTTCAAAATTTAAGGGGAATAAATGTGCAAGAAATTATTTTGCTTAGTTAAGTGCATATTAAATGGCATTGTCTGGCAGTAAATAGGAGAAATGGGCTAAAAGAATAATTGGCTAGAACTTTATAGGTGTGAAAAAAAATTAAGTCTATTTTAATTCCCAAACTGGGTGCTCATTAATTTCATAACTAGTAGCTGGCAACACTATATAGCTAAATTACTGTTTAGTAAAACATTGAGATAAAGGATGGCTGATGAAGCTCTCAATATCAATAGAAGTCGAAATCATTGATTTTAGTTCAGTAAGGCAGCTCAGGTATTTTTTACATGATGTGTACATCTTGATCATTTTCAGTTAGGATTATTTTACAATATTTGTGCATAAATAGCTGACACTGATTTTCAGCCACAATTATAGTAATAATGATCAATCAGTTTTGTTGACATCCGAATAATAGCGTTGTTTCATAGTTCTGTATTTCCTAAGAAAGTATAAGGCTTCTAGCTCTTTTATTACAAATTTGCCCCGTCCAATAAGTTCTTTGATCTTCTCTGGGTCCTTCACATCTTTGTTTTTAAGGAAAACATTCTTCAGACGCCTTTTAAAATAGTCTTCTCCTTTTGGATAGTCTCTCCCAAGATACAGCAGCTTAAAAAGAAAGATTATATATTCTAAACAATCCATGTCATATAGTAACATCTGTAAAACTGGCAGCATAATTACTTACATTTTTATAAAGATTCAGTACTTCTCCTCTTAAAGAATTGGCCATTTTCATTTATCATGAAAAAGGAAAGTATCCACTTTTGCAAATAACGCACCTGCAGAAAAGGAAAAAATATTTGCAAATAACTGCATTGTAGCCTTAAAAATCAAAAGATTTAATACATTGGGGAAATGGTAACTTTTTTTTTTCCATTCAATAAATAATTACCGAGTACTTTTATGTTCCAGCCACTTGGGATATAGCTATGAACATGCCAGATAAGGTAACCTGCTCTCACAGAACATCTGCAGAGACATAATAATAAGCAAACAAACAACATAATTATGAATTGTGACCAGTTCTCTGAAGGGTAGTAAGAGAAAATGGACTGTCAGAGATAGATATATAGAAGTACTTCATTTTATGCCACAGAGGAGTGAGAACTAAGTTTGAATCCCAGGTGCATAATATGCAGGTGACTTAACCATACTAAGTCTCAGTTTTCCTTAACAAAAGGAAGATTAGCTTTACCCTGCTCCTCAAGGCAAGGTCAGGTCCATTTGGAGGACCTTGTGTGAGAAGAGGCCCGATCCCATTTGGAAGGGGGCTGTCTTAAGAGAGGTTGAAAACAGGAGGAACTTTTAGAGTCAAGCAGGTTGGCAATAATAGTAGTTGGATAGTAAGATTAGTGCTGATCAGGCCAAGTGAACAAGCCATGAAGGGGGTCCATGAGGAGCAGGCAACATCTAGTGGTATAGTCTATGCTTCTTGATGTGTAATTGTTAGTGCTACTAGGGAGAAGAGAGTCCTTAAAGGTACCATGACAGCCTAAACAGAATAATGCTCACTACTTACGTCTGTGGAGATTAAATCACAAAATTCCTAATACCATAAGCAGTAACTAGTCCATGCTTGGCCCCAAGTAAATGTTAATATCATTTATAACCTTCCTTAAATCTGTAATTCCCTTCCATTTTTCCAGTGACCTAACTTAAAACCACTGAATACATTTTTATGTCCCTTAGTAACAAATTTTATTTTGAAATAATTTCAATTTTGCAGAAAAGTTGCAACACTAGTACTAGCAACACTTTTTCCTGAACCATGTGGGAATAAGTTGCCAACATGTCTGCTCACCCTGAATACTTTGCAACACTGTCCAATAGAAATATAATGTGAGCCACATATGCAAGTTTACATTTTCTGAAAACAAGTGTAATTAATCTTAGTACGTTTTCATTAATCCAAAATACTATTTCAGCATGTCTCACTGGCTACATTTCAAGGACTGAATAGGTGCACATGGTTTAGTTGTTACTATACTGAATAACACAGCTTCAGAGTATTTCCCACAGACATTCTACATAACAATACAGCCATCAGAATCAGGAAGTTAATATTGCTGCATTGCTACCACTGAATCCACAGCCTCATTCAGGATTTGTCAGTTGTTCGAATGATGCTCTTTATAGCAAAAGGATTCATTCCAGATTCACACATTGCATTGTAATTTTCCTGTCTCTTTAGCCTTCAGTGTGAAAGAAGTCCTCAGGCTTTCCTTGATTTTCAGGAACTTGACGCTTTTGAAAATCTCAGGCCATTTATTTTGTAGAATAGCCCTTATTTTGATGTTTCTTCCTGATTGGATTGAGATTATATAGTCTGGACAAAAATATTACAGACAAGTTCCAACTTGTTCCATTACTGATGATGTTAATTTTGATCACCTAATTATTTGCCAGGATTCTCCATGGTAAAGTTACTTTTTCCCCTTTGACATTAATAAGTATTTATGGGGAGGTTCTTTGAGACTAAGTATTCCCATTCCTCATCAGTCTCACTGACCAGTTTTTACATTGATTGTGGTTTCCTGACTTAGTTATTACTAGTGATTTTCTCTTTCCATCATTCCTTCTAAACTTACTTGTTTGCAGTCTACTGTAAGGCAAAGCTTTCTCTCCCAATTTATTTTTTATTATCAGTGTGGAATCATAGATACTTAGTCTATTAAGTGGATTATATAATCCATTACTATCATGATTTATTGTAATGCTCAAGATTTGTCCAAGCTTGCTTCTTATATATATATTTTTACTTTATCCCATCATTCTTTAAGCGCTTCCTTACTTTCTGGTGTAAGATGTTCATCTTGTACTTTCCCTGCCCCAGTCCTGGAACCAACCATTTCTCCAAGGAACCTAGTCCTTTTATTGAAAAATTGTATTTAGAAACCAAGACCTGGGTGCCAGAAGTTCTCATTACAATTGGGTTGGCATTGTGCCCAAGCTCTCTAAGTGGACAGAGCTGCATGTATATGTATGCATATAGATGTAAATATATATTTTATCTTGATACAACCTGACTACCATCCATTCCAACACTACAGGATTTATTTTAATTTCCTCTTTCCATGGTTTTAACTCTATTCTCCAATAAGCAAAAACCTGGTTCCCATCATCCTCAGTAAATTTATTTTTTGGATCATCACCCCTCTTCCCAATATATAACCAATTCCTGTTGCCGTTGCAACTCAGCACACACTCTGCTCCTTCTAATTGAGCTCTGACACCTAGTGCCAGACTGCCACTTCCGCTATAACATGCACACACTCTTCTCCCCGCTCTCTCTTCACCCATCTCCTCTTGGACTCTAACAACAAATGCTGTGCCACCGTCCCCCTCCTCAAGAAGTCTGTCTCACCCTATTCAGACCCTAATATCCTGTGCTGGGCTGCCATCCCCTCAACCCTAAAGATACTCCCCTCACCCTGTGCTGGGCTGCTGCCACAGACACACTCTTTGCCCCACATGGGCTCTGTAACTCCTTGCTGGGGTACTGCCTTGCCAGTCCTTCATCCCCTATGCAGTCTCTTCCCAGATGCCTACCTTGCTCAGCCCCACATAACAGCTTTTGGACTGAATTATTCAGAAGGTCAAACAGGAAACCATTTCTATTTTTAAAATATCCTTTTAGGTCAGTTTTCAGGATTATTTTATCGCTAACTACTAGCAGAAAATGTAGGTTAAAATTATAGCACCTGTCAGAATCCCACCTGAGTCCCAGCTGACTTCTTTGTAGAAATTGACAAGCTGATTCTAAAATTCATAAGGAATTGCAAGGGTCCCAGAATAGCCAAAACAACCTTGAAAAAGGAACAAAGTTTCTTTTTTCTTTCCATTTCAAAATTTGCTGCAAAGCAACATTACTCAAGACAGTGTGGTACTGCACAAGGATAGACAGATGAATAGAACCGGTACTTCAGAAATAAACGAATACGTCTGTGGTCAACTGATTTTCAACAAGAGTGCCGAGACCAGTTAATGGGGGAAAATGTCTTTTCAACAATTGGTGCTGGGATAACTGGATCACAACATGCAGAAGAATAAAGTTAGACCCTTACCTCACACCAAATACAAAAATCAACTCAAAGTGGATCAAGGACTTAAATGTAAGACCTAAAATTATAAAACTGTTAGAAGAAAACATACAAGTAAATCTTTGTGACCTTGGATTTGTCAGTGGATTCTTAGCTATGACACCAAAAGCACAAGGAAAAAAAAAAAAAGATAAATTGGACTTCATCAAAATTAAAAATTTTCATGCTTCAAATGATACCATCAAGAAAGTGAAAAGACAACCCACAAAATGGGAGAAAATATTTGTAAATCATGTATCTGATAAGGGACCTGTATCTAGAATATGTAAAGAACTCTTATAACTCAATAATAAAAAGACAAATAACCCAAGTTAAAAATGGGTAGAGGATCAGAATAGACAGTTCTCCAAGGAAGATACACAAATGGCCAGTAAGCAGATGTACAGATGTTCAACATCGTTAGTTACCAGAAAAGTACAAATCGAAATCACAGTAGGATACCTCTTCACATCCTCTAGGATGGCCATAATCAAAATGTCAGATAACAAGTATTGGCAAGGATGTGGTGAAATCAGAACCTTCATACACTTGCTGTGGGAATGTGAAATGGTGCAGCTGCTTTGGAAGACAGTCTGGCAGTTCCACAAATGATTCAACAAAGGAGCTGCCATATGACTCAGCAATTCCATGCCTAAGAATATATGCAAGAGAAATATATGTTCACACAAGAACTTGTAGGTGAATGTTTATAGCAGCACATTTTATAATAGCCAAAAGATGGAAACAACCCAAGTGCCCATCAATAGATGAATGGATAAACAATCTGATAGAATCCATAGCATGGAATATTTTTTTTTCTTTTTTTTTTTACTGTACTTCAGGTGAAGGTTTACAGGACAAATAGTTTCTCATTAAACAGTAGTACACATATTCTTTTATGACGTTGGTTAACAACCCCACAACATGTCAACCTTCTCCCTTCTTGACCTTTTTTTTTTTTGTGAAAATATACATAGCCTAAGATACACCATTTTAAAATTTCTACATGCACAGTTCAGTGACATAGACTACGCTCTTCCAATTGTGCTGCTATTCTCACTTTAGATGAAGGTTTACAGATCAAAATAGTTTCTCATTAAACAGTATACATGTTGCCCTATGACAATGGTTAACAACCTCACATCAACACTATCCTTACTCAACCTTGGGTTCCCTATCACCAGCTTTCCTGTCCCCTTCTGCCTTCTAGCCCTTGTCCCTGGACTGCTGTGCCTCATTAGTCCCATTTGGTTTAATGGGGCTGTCCACTCCCTGGCTGAACGGTGAACCTCAGAAGTGACTTCACCACTGAGCTAAAAAGGTGTCTGGGGGCCATACTCTCGGGGTTTCTCCAGTCTCCTTTAAGCCAGTAAATCTGGTCTTTTTTTTGTTAGAATTTTGTTCTACATCCTTCTCCAGCTCTGTCCAGAACCCTCTGTTGTGATCCCGGTCAGAGCAGTGAGTGGTGGTAGCCGGGCACCATCTAGCTGTATTGGACTCAGTCCGGTGGAGGCCTTGGTAGCTGTGGTCCATTAGTCCTTCAGACTAATCTTTTCCTTGTATCCTGTTCTCTTCATTCTCCCTTGTTCCCGAAGGGATGAGACCAGTGGAGTATGTTAGATGGCTGCTCACAGGCTTTTAAGACCCCAGACACTACTCACCAAGGTAGAATGTAGAACATTGTCTTTATAAACTGTGTTATGCCAATTGAGCTAGATATTCCCCGAGACCATGGTCCCCACAGCCCTCTGCCCAGCAATTGAGTCCCTCAGGGAGTTCGGATGTGTCTGTGGAGCTTCCATGACCTTCCCTTGTACAAGTTGTGCTGGTTTCCCCAGTATTGTGTACTGTCTCACCGTTTACCCAAGATACCACTTATCTATTGCCTAT